TAGTCCACTCCCTGCAGCCTCTTCTACCCTGGGCTCCTGCCTCTAACCTACAGGCTGAACAAAGAAAATATAACAGGTTCCTTTATCAATGCTTACAAGTGGGGATGACGGAATGCCCTGCTGTTTCCATTGTACTCTTTCATCGACCTGTTGTAATACCCGAATGGAGCTAGCAGCTTATTGGCTGCAATCTCCGTTCAACTGAGAATTTTCATACCTGCTCCTTCGATGAGCTGATTGAGTGATGCTGGGTGGAAGGGTGCTGACATGGGCACCCATTGTGGAAATGTGCACTGTGTATAGCCTACTGACATCTTCAGGTCCATTCACCTGCATCAGACGTGAGGACGCCGAGGGACATTCCTCAGCCAGAGCAGATTTGGGGGAGAGAGGTGAGCGCTGTCTGCCTCAGGACCGAGGATCTTCTTTATTCCATTCCCTAGACCAAAATGAGCAGTTAACCCTTGAAGTGCTTGGGTAGCACCACTGCAAGGGTTCATTTTTGAAAATCTTGGAGATCTCCTTTAAAAACACTTTTGCAGAGAGGAGCGCTAAGTTATAAATCTTCCATCCAGCATATAGCTGGGCGAATGCCGCTCACACAGCATCACCGCCTCTATATGGAACTAAGGATCAGTGGAATTCCCTATGCTCCTCTGCTGCATCTAGGGGCGGCAGTGCCGTGCACACAACACTTGCCCAGCTATACACTGGATGGAAGATTTATAAATCAACTCCTATATGTTACACACAATCTTCAATGTGAAATGCATTGCCTGCTTTCCTATACCAATAATAAACATCAGTTCAAATGCCAAATAGCAGTTTGTGAAACTCCTTCTCAAAAGCAACATCGCTTAAAAAGAATATATTCAAATATTCAAAATGGAGGCTGTCACTGCATTAATTTCCAGCACAAGTATAAATACACCTTTTGTACACCAACCAAAAGGATAACACAGGGGTAGGCAACCTCAACTTGGGCACTCCAGTTGTGGTAAAAATGGAAGTCCCCAAAGGCATTGCAAGACACTGACAGCCACATGCCTGATTGCAAGAGGCAGAGGCATCATGGGATTTGTAGTTTCACCACAGCTGCAGTGCTGAGGTTTCCTACCCCTGGCATAGCCCAATGTGAGCCTTCCTTAGAATACCACCTACAAGCACAGTGCTCAGTATTTCTACATAAATAGCATATTTCGCAGTTCATATAAAACTAATTGTAGAAGTGTTTGAAGCATCTCCCTGGGAACTATTGCTCAATACTCATTATATATATTGATCCACAAATGATTTCTTGATGATACCTTAGATCCACCTTATTTGGATACAATGATCATTGATAACAGTATCACTACTGTATATAGCATCACTATCATTCCTGTTAGATTTGTCACTGCCCAACACAGCATAGCGTACTCTGTATACACCTCACATCCTTGTAAATGTTCTGTATGTATGAATGATATCATAGCAGGAGAAATGTTCACAAGTCCCCAAGGACATATGATATTGGAACGCAAATGGATATCCACTGATGAAATAATGGCATTCTCACACATGCCTAGGTGTCAACAATAATCAATATCCATGTAATATGTGATTTCTCAGAGATTACAAATGCTGATATATATGGAAATGTGTTCTCAGGAATTACATTCAACTCTCAGGCAGTCAGAATATTTATAGTAATCGAAACAGATTAAAGTGAATCTTAGCAAGAGCACATTGTATATAGCCCAGCATTTGGAATCTCTGCGAAATCACATACTACATGGATATTGATTTCTGCAGAACTTTAATGGTCCATACATTTTTTAATGTGTGGGGAACTGTTTTTATATGTCTGTATATATTTGTGCTAAAAAAAGATAGAATTTTTACTGTAATTGGAATCATAACATAACAATCATATTTAAGTTTGGTTTCTTTAATGGCAAAGTTCACTTTTTGCAAAAGAAAAAAAAGAAAATCAATAAATGCAATCACATTATGAAAGGAAAAATGTGCATGTGTTCACTTTTGCTTTGAAGCCTGCAAAGCATTGCAGTTGCAATCAAAGAATCATGGGTGCAATGCTCTGGCTCCTGCAGACGATTTCTCCCAGCCCCTGCCTGTACCGAGGTATGGACTTTCAGTTACAGGGACGGGAGGAGGTGTGACATGTGAGGTGTCTTCTTCACACTCGTACTCCATTAAGAACTGCAAGTCCCTCTGCGGAGGTGGCAGGTGGGACTTTTCTGAATTCACAGAACCACAGTCTCTCAATTCACAGAACCTGCCCAAGGATTTGTCAATGGATGACACAGCTGTGTCTGGCTTCATCATATTCAAATACATATAGAATCCTGTGGGGCAGACAAACCCTGGGATTCTGGTAAGGGGCCGGGGGGCGGGGGGCATTTGGAGGGTGGGGGGCTGCTAATGTATCCAGGTTTCAGGTTACACCCTAAATATTAGTGTGACATAAAACATGGTCAGTAGGATGAAGCTAGTCTTTAATAGAAACTGTCAGGTTGTTCAATGCCCCAACATCTACCATAATCTGAAATATCAGCTGTGGGTGGACTGACCCTTTAATACATAACTGTAATGTATATCAGGGAGTCCGGTATAACATAAAGAAACAGGACAGCTGCAGTGAATGTCCAAATCTGGTTAAGTAGTATGATACTAAATACAAATGTTGGCTGCTGCTGTGAATCCCCAGGATCTGGGGGTCCAGTATTACACCGTCAGCTGCTGTTGATAGAAGAATCTTCAGCTTTACATCTTGATCCAGCAGAGCTAAAAAGGAGACATCCTACCTTCAAAGGACACCAAGCTAAACTGGGTTTGTTCAGTATAAGCCACTAGGTGGAGCTGTACCATCGATTTTAACTAGTGTCCAACTTCCTAGAGACAGGAGCATATACACCAGGGGTGGGCAAATACTTTTTTTAAGGGACCACATGAGAAACTGGGACTGTTGTGGAGGGGCAAACCGAAAAAGCTGAACTTTATATTGCTCAATAAAAAATTTATTGCTTTATAAAAAGCAGTACATGATATAGTTTTGATTATGTCCCCATGAGAGTGCCCCCTTACATTGTTTGTCCCCTTTAGAGTGCCCCTTTATATTATTGTCACCACATAACTTAGTTTGCTACTTTATTAGTAGGCCAGAGGCAGGAGCCGGGAGGTGGAGCAGGCTGCAGGAGAGGAAGGAAGAAGATACTCTTCTGTTCTCCTGTAATGCTGGGGGTGAGGAACACATTTTACATCACTGGTTGCTAGGACCGCTGGTAGTCCTAGCAACCAATGACTGCAGAGGAGGTGGACACATGACTTCTTTGGTTGCTAGGATGACAGCGGTCATAGCAACCAACAATGGAAGAGGAGAGGGGCCTATGCTGGGCTATAGTTGGCAATGGATGCACCGGCCTCTGAGGCTAGTGCATCCACTGTCAGCCAGCCATAACCGAGCACAGTCTGGTCAGAACTGCCACTATGGGATAGCCAATGGGTCAGATGTGGACACTGTGTCTTCTAATGAACACTGGGCGACCTGGACACTTGTAGGTAGGTGCAGTATGGCCAACGGCCACTAGATGCCCCCATGGGGCCCTGGAGATAGATGCAGCTCTGGCCTGGGGAAACTCTGTGTCCCAGGAGAGTTGATTTATAGGGGGCGCCCGAGAGGGGAAGGAGTTGTTGTTCAGAGGAGGACAGAAGAAGTCTAAGACTGTCTGCCGAGTCTCTGGAGGGAGACTGTTTCTTGAATATAGGCTGGTCCATGGGAAGGACAGGACCAGGCCTAGGACTATGTAGAGCTACAAAGATCCCCTAGTTTCCCCACAGGGGGAAACCCACCGTGCTAGGACTGACAAAGGATGGGATTCCGGAGAATAGTGAAGTGCTAGAAGACTGACAATATTTGCCAGTGGGCCTATGGCCGAAGTAAGTCGTGACTCTGGGCTGCACCTGGGCTGATGTACCTCTCTCTCTAAATTGTATCACCATGCAAGTAACAAGTGATGTGCCGTCACCCCATTCGGGGGTGGCTGAAAAGTATACTTTGTGCTGTTAATATCTTCAAGTAAAATCAACAAAAAGACTATCTGAGTGGACTGGTTCTTCTCCCTCCAACCTCTGAGAAGGTGGGGTTCTACCGAAGTATGATGTGGACTGTAACGTGGCTGTAACCATCTGAGGAGGGTAGGTGCGCAATGGGGCTATGCCTGACACAGGGTGCCGTTCATGGTGGCCTTTCTCCTTGGGGGGGAGGAAGCGCCGAAGACCGCAGAGGCGGTAGAAGCCATGAGGCCCTGTGTACGTAGTACTACACGTGTGGGAGTGTTTGCACGAGGCCAAGGCCGTGGCCCCTGACCGTGGGGTGTCTGGTTTCAAGTTGCATACACGGGGTTACTCAGCCAACCCAAGAGGGAACACACACACGCAACACCCCGAGAGTGAACCCCGCCTACACACTGGTCATATTTAGCCAAAAATATTTGCCTTTTAAACTATTTAACTTTAACCATATAAAAACATATCTTGTAAGAAACTGCAATCAATATGGCCTGCCCAGTGCTTAGTTTTATGTCCCCCCCCGCAATGTATGACTACCGTGGCTTGGAGACTTTGTCAGCATTTTCTGAGCCTGCATTTATTTCTCTAATTTCAATGGTCCATGCCCGGCCTTCTTTCCTGTCTAAACTCTGCCTGAACTCTGCTTCTTAAACTAATCTCTCTCCCAGAGTGTCTGACCCATGTAACCTTTAAGTCTGAGTACATCAACAAATCCTTGGAGGAGACTGGCAGAAAACTGAAGGACTCACTTCTGTTACCTGCCTCGTCAGCCATTGTAGTCGCTTTTACTGTCAGCTTCGTTGGAAATGTCAGATGCTGAATACGGAATGATGGGACTTTATTATAAAGGATTACAGAGAATTACACATTGCACAATTTAAAAATAAACTTAGCAAATTTCCAGTAAATATACAGGTGGACCTTTTTTTATTTCACAATGCCCCAAAGTTCTTCCACATGGACCTGGCTGGAGTATGAGATGCATCCGGACACTTCAGATTTCTTTCACGTCTGAATAAAGTAAACAAACAAAAAAAAAGTGGACCTCCAATGTGTCTTTATCATTGTTGTTTTCTGGTTAAGACAGGAGACCAGCAGACAGGAGGACTCTAGTTATGACAAGAGAAGTCTGGTTGTCCAGGCCAGCAGTTGGTCCTCTAGGTGGGGGCTCTATTGGACAGATAGGCAATGAGGGCCACCACAGCACCCACATAGGTGCAAATGCCCAGGAAGATCGAGAGAACCGCCAACAGGAATGTCTGTCGGGAGGCCACAATTGCCCCATGGTAGTCGCCTTGAGCAGAAGCTTTGTTGGTCTGTAGAGAATTGAAAAACTGGTTAGAAAAATAAAAACACACTGACTTTTCCTTTAAGCACAGTTTAAGTCAAAGAAATTATTATGCAATCAGATAGACATTTTACTAACAACCTCTACTTTCCTGTTACAGCAGTTGTACAAAGTGTCTCAATATGACTAGGCACTAAAGTTAAACCCAATTCCCTTAGCAATCAGTGCTTATTACAAGCACTGGCCAGACACGTCCCCTCTCTTCGTCTACCGTACAAGTCTGCGTGAGGACACGTATGAGGGGTGTGACTAGCAAGCACAAGGCACCGTAGTGTGAGCTCAGAAAGTAAGGTATTATAATACATTTCCAAGTAAAAATCACTCAAAAATGAATACATTCTGGGGTAATGGATTATAAAGTGATAAAAAGGTATGAGACTTCAATTAGGGGTTCAAAGAGTAATCCCAGCCAACATTTTTCTTTTTAATTTTGGATTAGGTAGCGGTTAGAACCTTTCTGAGATTTTATAGCAGTCTTGGCGGCTTGGGAGGAGATCGAAAAACAATAAAATAAAAGCCTGACTCTAGCTTCATTAGGAGGGGCAGTGCCTGTGTCTAAACTCTGAGCCTGATGAAGGGATCATGTGAGAGACAACATGCGTCAATAAATGGAAATTTTTTGTTTTGAAAAATGATTTGATGTGCTGGTGACACATTTCTACAATCTGTGTCAAAACAATGACGCTCTGAATGGTGATGATTTTTATGAAGTTGAAATGTTTAGTGAAGGTTTAAGAAAAGTCAGTATATTTTGGGGATATGTGTCCCCTTCATCAGGTAGAATAATAGACCTCATTGGTGTTCATTGAGTATAAACACATAATTTCAGAATACATTTAGCATTTTATTAGAATTAGAAATGATGCACAATAATATAAACAGCAACCACATCATTTAAATGGTAAAAGAAAATCAAATATATAGCAATTCTAATTATTGTATATTTTTAACATGATACAGTAAACTCCCAGTTATCCGGCACCCATGGGGATCAGAAGATGCCGGATAACTGTAGTTTCTGGTTGCTTGAGAGTTAAAAGTACCTCTCAAGCAACCCCCTACGGTGCCCCAACCTGTGGCCCCATTCATCTGCAGCCTGGATTCTGCAGGCGGCAGGTTGAATCGAAAGAGAGTGCAGTGGGCGGAAATAATAGCCAGCCTGCTATTGGCTATTTCAAATTGCCCAGCGGGCAATTGCAATTTGAAATAGCTAATAGCAGGCTGGCTTTTGCTCCCCATTGTTTACATTCTGCTGTGGACCGCGGAATCTAGCTACGTTCTGCGTCTGCTCTACGGGCTCTATGGTGAGCTCCTATGCCCAGAGGAGCGGGGGACCTTGTAAACCGCGGCAGGGGGGGCGGACATTTTCGCCGCTGCTCTTTTCATACAAGTGATCTAATCAGAGCACTTGTATGAAAACGAGTGGCGGCTCCACACTATACATTTAGCTCTGCTTGTCCGGAGCAGGGCTAAATGTACAAAAAACGACTCGCCCGGGCGTCAGCCCCTCCGCCTCAGCTCTCACACATTCGCTCCATAAGACGCACAGACATTTTTGCCGCCTTTTGGGGAAAAAAAAGTGCAACCTATGGAGCGAAAAACACAGTATTTTTATGCATCAGCCAATCTCCAAAGACTGAAATACTAGTTTTGAATGGGCTGATCCTTTAAATCCCACTCAGAATGTTATACAGTATATTCTGCACCAGCTCCATTTTTAGCCTCTACATGGCCTTCCATCAGCTGAGCCTTGGACAGGCAATGCCTGCGGCTGCTGCCACTTACCTTTTGTGACAGGAAGAATGCGGCAATGCCCAGAGGCCAGAAACAGCAAAGCATAGAGAATACGGCTAGGCCCAAGTAATCCTGGGGGAAGAGCAGGGAAAAGTGACTCTCGCTGTCTGTGTCACTGTCACTGGAGGAATCATTCTGGAAGAGAGGAACAGAACTCATTAGTAGAAACGGCAAAACCCAACATCCACAATGAATACTCAAAGAGACAGATCAAACAAGGATGTGCAAAGAGCAGAGATGCTATGCAAAGTAAAAAAAAACACATATTAACCAATCAGATCTCAGATAGCCATTAGTGCACGACCCTTTTTGTTTGACGGTTATGGACTAATGCACCGTGCACTCTATTCCTACCTTTTGAAACACCTTATTGAAGTTTTTGAATTAGAAATGTGCAGTAATTCTGCATCCACAAATATACAAAGGTGAATTAAAACACCTTGAAAGAAGAACTCCGTGTGGCTACCAATGCACTGCAAGGGTTAAGTGCTCTTTTTGTCTAGGGGGCTCTAATAAACCTGTATTACTCCCCTGATCCTCCTTCCCGTGGCGGTCAGCGCTCACCTCTCTTACCCTCTTGGCATCCTCATGTCTAATGCAGGTCAATCAACCTTTGTAAGATGTAATGAATGTCTGCAGTCCTTAGACCGCCAGAGCCTGGGCGGGAAGAGGCCGCGGGGACCGGTCTAACAGACCAGAGAGAGTTGGTGGGAATGGGATCAGGTAAGTAATTCTGCTTTATTTGAGCCCCCTAGACAACACAGGCACTTAACCCTTGCAGAGCAGGGATAACCCCACTGCCCTTCTCTGAACTCTCTTAATTTCAAGGACATCCTTTCTTAAGGACTGGTGGTCAAAACTGAAGTGCACACTCAAGATAAGGCCAAACCAATGTCTTGTAAAGTGGTAGAATCACAGTTTTATCTATTGGTAAAATCCCTCTTTAATGCATGACGGTATCCTGCTGGCTTTGCTAGCTGCAGCTTGGCATTACACGCTGTTGTTGAGTCTGTGGCCTACAAGGACCCCCAGATCTTTCTCCATCCCCGATGTCCCCAAAGGAGTACCTCATGATAAGTACCTTGCATAGATAATTTTAGTTTCCAAGTGCATAACTTTACATTCTTCAACGATAAACCTCAAATGTCATGTACCCAACACTTTTATTACACAGAAAAAAAGACCTAGCAACAGCTTGTAGGAGAAAATTACAAATACTTACCGGTACCTGTCCAGCAGTGGTGACTCCAATCTTTGCTCTCCTCCAGAGCTAAGGTCACTTACAGGAAAGAGAAGTGACATAGTGACTGACAAGTAGTACCACGGTGCACACCAGAAACCATTTTGGAAGACTTTTACTATTTTGCAAAATGAATAGAGAAGGTGAAATTAATGAACTAAACTGCACAATAAATAGAAGATTTGCTATGCTTTAGGGGAAATTTAGAACGGTTTATGACTAATCAGTACCCTGAAAATCATACCTTTGTCTGGATATCATCTTGAAAAAAATTGGGGCACTTCTTAGTACATTAGAGTGCCTAGGCACTCCTGTGCCCATAGCTTTATTGCTGTATATCTGTAGTATGAGATCTAAGGCACTGCTGCCTCTGACTGCTAGTCTCAGGGCATATGGAGTGAGATTTGGTGAGGTAACCACTGTGCTGTTCACTGTACACCTTGCTGGAGGCTCTAACATGAGGAAGCAAAGCCCTGCCTATGCTAAGATGGCCACCTCCACAGAGTCACAGTGCCAGAAAAAAACCCCTTGTAAACTGGGATCATGATTTTTGATTGAGGAACCCTAACTTTAACCTTTGTTTACTTACTATAACTTATAGTCTCTCAAACATCACTATAGCTGTGCCATCCTAATATTGACTTTCACAATGCTAGAATATGCTATCAAATGACAAAAAGATTGAATGGGAGAAAAATAATAAAGAGTACATGCTACAACTTTATTGGAAATTCTCCAAACCTTTCTGATTGCTTCCTTTTCAATTTGATGTCATAAAATGGATTGAAAGTGAAGTATGGCTACAAATGGTTCCATTTGTAATAGATGCAATTGAAATGTGTGTGGTCTTTCTTACTTGTTACTTTGTTTAGGGGAAGGGGGGATGCTCATGCACAGGGAACATAAGTTATGTTAGATTAAATTAGAGAGAACTGGGAGTTCAATGGAGGACATTATGCAACGTAAGACAAAGAGTGGAGAAGAGTGGAGTCTTTTCAATGGAGTGCATGGTGTTACATTGACTGTAGTGTACCTTTTATACTCCACTGAAATTGCTTTATTTTAGCTATGGAACTAGCTTTAAGAAACCTTCTCTAGAAATAATGTTTTTCGCTTCTGACACCTATGTATACCAACACAGCATGTTCTCCACCAATTTTAAAAGAAAACCTGTACTACTTGAAGTGTAAGGACTGCCATTGCCGAACTCCTTTTAAGAATATTAGTTGCCCGGGTTTCTCTGAATACAATGCTTTCTGGGTCCTTGACCTGAAACAATTATATAGATTAGAAAGTTGGAGCAAACTCAGAACTCCTGCTCTGCATACTTTTTTTATGTTGGTGTTTCAGAAAGTATTGAAGCCAACGTGGCAGTCAAGCAACAAGCACTTTGAAAAACATGCGCCAACAATGACTGGCTCCATATTTTTTTAGCACAAGTTTCCTTTAATAGACATGTGAGCTGCAATTACAGGCTTCATCTACATTACCTGAAATTTGGTATTACAGCTGTTCAGCCCTTATCTAATTCCAGTCTGCCAAGTATTGTAAATCGTGGGGTGTCATAGAAAAGGTCCATTCAGATAGGTGACTCATTCTTTCTGAAAGGTTCCTTTGAAGCAGAAGAGGTAACGAGCAATTTCAGATCTGGGTAACCATGTGAGCACGACTCTTAAATCATATAAGTAAAGCAATTTTAAAATGTAATTGCATTGTTATGAAAAAAATGGCAAGATATGGGCAAGGGAATTGTTATTCCCTTAATCCTACTTTCTTTATTATGATATTACCCCATTTTTAATTCCATAAGAGCCAGATATACAAGAAGATGACAAGGTTTATTGTCAAAAGCCCTCTCTCACTGATCGCTTACTGAATTTATGATTATTTCCCTTTATTTCTGTACAGTTTTACTATACTCAAAAGCCCGGTAAAGGAAACAATGTCATACAAAGGCAACCATTTTGAGTTAACATTTCACATTTGTAAGGGAAACTATATTGGTTTTTGGTTCCAGTTTATTATTTTCTTTTAAACATAAAAGAATATAGACAAAGGCTAGAAGCCCCACAATCCCACAAGGGGTAACATTAAAGATCATGCAAAATAAATAGAGGGTTAAGTCACAAAGCTGCCGAAGGCAGCCGAGTGAGTAACTCACCCGAAGTGAAGTGAGCCAAACGCTGTTCGGCTATTCAATTTGGGCTTGTACAGCTGATTTCAGCCATACATCGGCTGAAATCAGCCGTACATCGGCTGGCTTCGGTTCAGCCGAACATGCTCAGCATGTTCGAATGAGCCGAAGTGAAGAACACGTTCGACTCAACCGATCCAACATATGGATTGGCTGAGCCGAACCTCCGGCAGGCTACTTGCTGCCGTTCGGCCTATTCTCAGAGGGGCTGAATGGCAGGAAGTGAATAGCCGGATGCCGCTGAGCGGCATTAGGCTCGGCTATTCTGCTCGATACCTCCGTGGTACCGAGCAGAATAGAAAATCAGTGAAATAAGTAATAAGTAGAAAAGAAATGTTTAAAAATGTAAATAAATGATAAATGTAAAAAAAAAAAAGATTTCTTTAAAAAAAGAAAAAAGAAAATCAAAATAATTGGGCGGAGCTAGCAGTGACAGCTAGCTCCACCTAACTGTTTCCTATTGGCCGGGACCTGCTAGAAGTCTTCTAGCAGGTCCTGGCCAATAAATAACAACTGGGCGGAGCTAGTCTTCTAGCGTCACGACCGGCTCTACCCAGATGTCATTGTTTAATGACAGTTCAGCGTCCCCAGGTAACCTGATCTGTCATTGCAACTGGGTGGAGCTAGCTGTGAGATCACGGCTGGCTCGGCCCAGCTGTCAGTTGCAAGGCTTTCGGACGGGCAATGGCCGATGCATATGCCTTCGGCTCGGCTAGCTTCGGGAGCTGTACGGGCTATAATGAATAGCCCCTACAGCAGCCCTTCGGTTCTACTGAACTGAAGGGCTCCGGCGGCCGAAATAAATAAATGACAAAGGATTCAAAGAGAACTATGGATCAGTTAAAATGAAAGCACAGCAGTAGCAGCCTACTTTGTGGTTGGCTTTGCTTAATTGAAACCTCCCAATGAGCTGTCTGAAAAGGGATGAGCAAGTTTAATATCGGCGGAGAGATTTAACCATTTTCTGGAAGTCTCCTCCTTAGGCTAAAAAATACACAGGAAACTTTTAGTAGCTCTAGAAGCAGCAATAGATCAGTAAACTGATGAGACAAACTGCTCCCTAGCATCTTGCAGAAGTTGCTTGCATGTTTGAACCATTGTGCAATCATGCTAAACTGATCTCTACTACATTCCACTTGTGTAGCTCCTTCCGTGGAGAGCCATGTGTTCCATCTGTTTAGCAATCAATTGATACTCCTAGGGATAAATCACTAGCAAGCATGATTAAGCTATTTAACATCTCCATTGTAGGTCCAGCCAAATGGGGTGACTGCCAGCAAGTGGATAAATATCGCAGTAGCTAGAGATTAAAATTGCTTACGTAACTTAGCTCTAAGGCTACATGACAACAATGGAGGTATGACCAGACCCTCCTTCCTAACCTTTTCCCTAGTGCTTTGCTTCTGAACTTTGCCCAATTAATTCTTGTTAAAAATTGTATTAAAGTCTCAAACTTTTTCAATAATGAATCCAGATCCAACAAATATGCATTGCCCAGTCATCATGTTTCTGAATAGCTCCAACTCTCTGAGCTCTGCTTCCATGTACAAGATCACAGCACAGTCTCCAGCAGCTCTCCATCTTCTAGCTTAGAGAAGTAGGAGAAGGTTGAAGCAGGGATGAGGGGATATGCTTGCACACACAGCTTACTAGCACAAACAAGGTGGCTCCATAGGACCCTGCGAGGAAAAGGAGTCATCC